TGCAGGTAACGGGGAGACGCGCTCTGGCGGCGGTCTCGTTCAGGATCCGAAAATACAATTTAAATATTTTTGCACACTTATTCCACTTATTCCTAGTGTGCCACTGGTTACGGTGCCGCGTGCCAATGCTGGCACGCGTGCCAGGGGTTGCCGACCCCTGGTTTAGACTAATCTTGTGGATACCAAAACTTGTCTCGAAAGAATATTTAAAAGCAAACCAATATTTGATATGAAACTGAGGTTAAAAACGGTTAGCCCCCTCTTTTTGGCAAATATTAGTTGATAAACTGCTTACCTTGGAAGTCTTGGCTGAGGGCTTCAGGACTGGTGAGCCAGAGTCAGTTGATTGTACTTCAAAAACAGAAGATGCTTTAAGTTTAATTTCAAACAACTGCATTTCATTTAATTTCATAATCAAAATAAACATTTTTCATAGGAAAACCATTGTACCTATTTTACTGTGGGTCCTCCTGAGGGTTTGGTGAATCTCTAGGGACTCATTCTGCAACATCAGTTAATGATTACTTCTGTTATATTAAAAACAAAACTCAAGATGGCAGCAGGTGAGACTTAGACTCACCTTCATGGCAATTGACACGTCACTGGCTGAGAAGTCCTCCTCTAAAAGAATACAGGGGGATGGAAATCAGTAGTGAAAGAAGTATTAATTAGGTAAAAGTAGATATACTACAGTGTAAAAATACTGCGTTACGAGTAAAAGTCCTGCATACAAGTAGAAGTACAAATGTATTCGCATCAATATTGGCTTCTAAAATGTAGGATAAAAGTAGCATGAAATGGATATACTCAAATAAAGTACCCCAAAATCTAACTTAAATTCAATACATTATTACACCACTGATGGAAATACATAATATATTATGGTCTAACATCATAGGAAGTCAATTTATCCCAAAAGAACCCGGACAAATTTCTACTTTTGGGGAGATTTTGGGGAACATCATTTAGGTTAAATAGACAAAGAACACATTACTGACATTGTCAACACAAAAAAAACTCCTAAAATGTAACTAGTTCTGTCACATGTTAGCCTGGCACACGTTATGGGAACACAAAATGACCGTGGGTTCTTAAGAATGCTGAAGACTCACCGCTAAATAATTCCCCAATCCGTGTTTTTTGCAAAGCAAGAGGAACCTTCATCAGCTCCACTTTGAAGACTTTATCCACTGTGGCCAACATGTTCTCCAGTTTGGCTTCTAACTCGTTCATACGCTCTTGTGCTGAAAGGAAGATTAAAAAAAGGTTTGCCATTTCTAGCAGCAGAGCAGGGACAACTGGAGGAGGTAAAGCTGACATTTGAGCAGCAGTCTCAGCCAAACCTTCTTTCTCAAACTGCTGGATAAACAGAGCCAGTCTCCGGTGTCTCATCTCCCGGCTCTGCCGCACTTGAGCTGGGTCGGATCCTCGGTTCTTTACCCGCCTCGAAGGCATCTTGTGGTCTGGTCCTCACAGAGTTCAGCCTGCGAATGCAAACGCTCTACACACCTGTTACCGCACAACAGTTAATTAAGATGTTCATCCGCTCACCGGAAACTAATCAGGTGAGATCTACGTTGCGTGGCGGAAGCATACGTTTAGCCTTTATTTTGTTTATCGATTATGGAATCGGTGATATTTGTTTTTGTTCTGATATTTCAATCCAGTACAAGTGATGGTACAACAAAAATACCTAAACTGAAAAGCCTTGAAACATTCATGTTTAGAAATTAAATATTATTAAAAATGTAAATAATTAAACACACACACACACATATCAAAACCTCCTTGAACCAAAAGCACTAATGATGCAGAATGGCCCATTTCAGATTAATATATATTATAGGATAACAATTATTAATGTGATCATCACTTTTGCAGAGCAAATTTGACCAAATAATTTTAATTTGCAGTGATTTTATTATTAATCCTTGCCAAATCGCAGATGAGAGACATGAGACAAGTGATGGAGGACAAGATAAAGAAAGATGTCCATGGAGGAAATGGAGAAAAGAAATAAAGAATATGAGGATTTACTTGGGATGGAATTTGAAGCGGAACATAACAGGACAAAGGGAAATTAGGCAACACAGCATGGAAATACTTTATTTATTTTACTTATTAGAAATAGCACAATAAATGAAAAATAACATCCCAGCTTCTAATGCCGACAAACATAAATCCTCATCAGCATGGAGACACAAAATGGACACATTTCATTTTTCAATCAGTTCACAAACTCATTTATTGCAGCGCACTTAAGGGTAGACATTAAATTCCTTTCCACAGGACGGTAAGAGATCATTTAATCTATCATTAGAGAACAGTCTCTTCTGTACATCCTCTGCCATTAGGAGGCCACATTTACAAAGTCCGTACAGGGAGGGATCCCTTAAACAGATTAAAAAGGGGAAAGGGGGATTGTTAGTCATACAAATCTGAAGTTACACCATCTACAATCCAAATGTCAATGATACAAAAATAAATAATTGAGAATTTCATTTGTTTTGGAGGAAAAACTACTGTCAATTGTGAATATTTGAGGTGATGTCATCTCATCCTCACCCTGGGTCTAAACAAGGTTTTAATCTATGCAGTGCATATATTAATCACTTCTGTACAAGTCGCTCTCCCTAGTCTACAATAGGACCATCTCCATTTCCAACAGTTCCGGGCACTTAGTGGAATGTCATGTTTTGAAATTATTTCTCTCTTAACACAGTGTCAGCATTCCTAAAGAAGCCCTTTGCAGTATTATAAAGCTCTGAGCTACTGTGTGTAAACCATAAAAGCATATTTAACACAATAGCCAATTAAAACATTTATTTAACATTGGTTGGTTCTATGCTAGGGTTAGGAATAGCCCCGACACAGCTCGAATTTAACATGACAATAAGGCATGTTAGCTGAAGAAGTAAAGTATGTTACGGTTAAAAAAATTCAGATATTAAAAACTGAAAATGCTCCATCACTGAGGCTCCCAGAACAAGTATCTATTTTAAAGTGTGGCAATCCATAGTGTGGCATGCCTTTTCTGTCTCTGTTTAATTTCCTCCTATCGGCTGCTTTTAATCACACAAGTGTTGTTGCAGAGATCAATAATACTTCTTTAAGACCTGTTTAGATTGCAGGGCATCTGGAATGTTGCAGAATGTTAGTGATTGTCCTCAGTCCACCTCATTTACATGTGTGCTTCCAATGCATATTTACACGGACAGAGAGCTTGTGCATTTGCAATGAAACAAACTTTAACATTCATTAAGACTCAGGACACAATAAGTCAAGGCATCAAGACTTGTTTCCTCTCAAAAAAAATAGGCAACCCTGGTTTTAGATTTCCCCCCTGCAAGTAAATAATATGTACAAAAAGACGGGTGGACCTGGGTTTGCTTTCTTTTTTGTGGGTAGAAAGTGCACAGTCATGGTATGTACACAGTCTCAAACGTCAGAACTCATCTGGGGACAGATTCAAGCAAAGTGGGCAAAAAGCGGGACAGCGTGATTATACACACACACACAAACAGACACATGTCTACACCACACAGGCAGTCAATACATTCTGTACAGTGATTCATTATTCTATACACCATCTGTAAAGAAACACAACTAGTCCCAGAAGATTCACTGCAGGTGTCCGAGCCTTTTTACAGAAACAGTCCCACCTGTAAGCAGCCGCTTGGAAAGTCTATGAAAAGCTCCAGAGAGGTTGTAAAAAAAGAAAGAAATGGCATCTTTCAAGACAAGGAGAAGAAGAAGAAGAAGAAAAGGTACCGTGTTTTATGCGATTGGAGGGGTTTAAATACAAAATCATTTTCCTCCCTGCTGCAGTCAGGTTTTTTTGTGATCAGATAACGGGGGCTCCGAAGCATTTGAGGCACCACTGGACGTTGGGGCTGGGCGGTTGGTCGATTATGTGCAGAGACTTGAGCTGCTCCTCGCTCAGTTCATCGTACGCCAGGCGGTACTCTCTGTCGAAGGCCTCTGCAGGGACATAGCAAAGAGAGAGAGGGAGGGAAGATTCACAAAGTAAGAAAAGAGAGCAAACTGTTTCTGGCTTAGTTAGAGTTAAAGTAAAACATCTACACTTTTTAATCCCTACGACCTTTTCATGTATTTATTTTACTCTAATTTGGCTGTGGTAATGCATACAGAATACAGGTTTATTGTTATTTTATTTAAGTTAAACATTGGCTCCTGTCATCTAAAATAAAGTCCGGACACTTAGACCCCATAACGCAATGACAAAAAGTTGTAATCGTCATTTAAAAAGGGGCATTTTCTTTCTTCAAAGTTCACAAATTGGATTTATTTTGATCCAATGCACAAAATAAATAAAAATGGTTTGCCCTCTAAGGACATCAGAGCAACTTTTATAAATGGATGCTGAAGTTTTAAGGACAGTGAGAAAGAAATATTAAACCAGCTACCCATTTAATTATTTAAAAAAGATTGTGCAAGAGACGTTCTCTGAGTTTCACAAATAAAAATGCTGATGGGACTCTTGCCAGCACGATGTATCTGGTTGATTTCACTCACCTACGTCGATGTTCTCCTTCCCCAAAGCCACCAGTGAGAGGAACATTATTTCTCTATAGATACTCCTGGGAGAATTACAAGGCACACAAATGAGAGATTCATCAAGATATCAAGAATATAAATGTCTGAATGCTTTGTAGAAAGTGTTTCGGAAAGAGACACAGACTAAAGTCTGACCTCTGCCGTTTGAATCCCTCTGGGCGCCGTTTGATCTCCCGGATCAGCAGGTTGATCGGCCCGTACACGTCGTTGGTCTGAATGCTACGAACAATTGTGTTTAGGAGGGTACGAATCTCCTGGTGGTCTGTGGGGGCCAGCGTCCCCTTCTTCTCCACTGCAAAAAAACACATCAGAAATAATTGTATTCTATCCGTTTTAGTAAGAACACTGAAGTTTTCCTACCAACTGACATCGTATCAAATAGTTGTCTCTGTCTCCCCCTAGTGGTAGATTTATTTTCTACAAATAAGAATAAAAAAGCCACCAGAAAACAACATCAAAAAGTCTGATACAGTGTTTAGGGATGTCAAGCACTACACTAATGTCTCATACAGGAGGGGGGTACACTCACACAGGGTCCTCCAGAGCTGGTAGAGGGGCTCCCCGTGGTCCTGGTGCAGGTTGATGTTGTCCCACAGGAGCTGGACGTAAACCTGTTTACTGTCCTGGGACAGTGATGTCAAGGGCAGCTGAAAACATAAAGAATTGAGTTATTATGTTACTGACAAATAGAGCAGTAAAAGACATCTCAACCGTCTTAAATGTCTTGTTTGGGAAAGATCACACCAACCTTTTAAAACGATCTTGAAATGTAATTTAATCCACTACTGAAATGTCAGTTAAGTTTTTCCACTAAATCCTGATTTAATTAATTTCTGTTTTAGCAAAACAAAAATTGGATGCAATAACACCTGAGGAGGTTTGACCTAAAAAATAGTGAAGTCCTCAAAGAAAGTTGAAGTACAAACGTTCTGTTACTTCTCTGCTGAGCTATCATGAGCAACTTTAGCCTAACTACTAGCTCCTGACAGAGATCCTGACTTGGATTAAATGAATACTTGTTATGGAATGGGAAGAAGAGCCCTAGCATAAGAGATAAGTGTCTCACCTGCACTCCTTTGTTGCAGTGTTCAGAGGTCAGGATGAGTCCAGGGAGGTGAGTGGGCAGGTCTAAACGACGGAAATACCAAACCAGGTTCCAGAAGATGATGGGGTGCTGGCTGAGGAACTTGTGGGTGTAGATCACCTGGTCTCCCTCGTTTTCAAGCAGCGTCTCCAGCTCTTTGCGCAGCACCAAGGGGCTCAGGTACGGGACGGACACGGGCTTGGGGTTCGGGCGTTTAGTCCCCATGCCATCCTGAGAAATACACACTGATAATTTACTAAATTGACAAATATTTAAGCACAGTGGGGTTATTTATTGACGTGAGCAGCACTGACCGACACCTCCTGCAGGCTGCAGGGCAGGCTGGTGGTGGAGACGCCGTGTCCGGGTCTCTGGGAGTAGTCCAGGCTCTGCAGAGGACCCCCAACACTGTTGCTGCGCGTCAGAGACGTCCCGCTGCATCTGCGCTGCTTTCCCGCCGCCTGGTGCTCCAGGAGACCTAAGGGGTCCGACTGCAGCGGCTCAGGAACCAGACTAAGAACACAGCAGAGAGGCATGGTTTGTATTTTAGTCTTGTACCTTTTCGTCAACAAAATTGCATGTTTTGCACGTGTTGATGACGTTGGTGTAGCCTTAGTAAATGAACCCTGATTTACATGAAGCTGTTTGTCTGTTTTCTTCCCCTCTGCTAATAGCCTCATCAACAAGGCCCGCCCCCCCCACTGACACTTTACCTCAGCCACATCATAGACTCTATGCATTACATTAATGCACACAATGTACACAATATTGGTTATTTTTATTACTGCACATATATGTTATTCCATTCTATTTATATGCTATATTTGACTATATTTCTTATTAATGCTATTATAGTTTTCTTAAAATAGTTCTCGATCTGTGTTTTTAATTTTTTTTTTACTTTTATGTATGCATCATGACATCAAGTCAAATTCCTCGTACGTGTCAACCTAGCTGGTAATAAACCTGTTTCTGATTCTGATTGGTTTGTACCTCTTAAGTGTTCCAGGCTGATTATCCGGAGTCTCCCGAGCTTCCTCTTCAGGGAAAGAGAGGAGGTCTGGAGCCTTTATATCGGCGGCGCTGCTGGCTGTGGGCTGGGCGCTGCCGCTGTGGATACTGTCTCCTGAAGCACTGGGATTCATGTAGAACCTGAGAGGAGAAATCACAGAACAGACCGTTAGACTTTGCTGTGCGTACCTATAAAATAAGGACAAAGGAAAAGTGAAGCTGCATCATCTACTTCATTCCAGGACAAATGATTCTTACCCTGTCATTGTGCGCAAGTCATGAAACTCCACATGCAGTAAGGGAAGGAAGGCCGTGCTGCAGAAGGGACAGTTGGTGTTCAGGTTGGAGTCATCGGCCGTCCAACCCGCCATGATCTCCTCGTCGTACACCAGCGCTTCACAGGAGCGACACTGTGAGCAACTGGACATCAGCACCTGGAGACCAGTCAGGAGTTATTGCTATGTACATGTTGGAAGTGGCAGCAGCAGCATGTGTGTGTGTGTGTGTGTGCAGTATGTCTGACCTCCAGTGCACAGTTCTGGTAGATGCTGGAGGAGGAAGCGTGAAGCGAGGAGACCTGCTCAGAGTCTGGACCCCGAGCTCGTCCTGGAGTTTGATCTGGATTTAAAGACAAAACGTATACATTCAAAGCCTCTTCTCTTTTCTGCTTATATTTAAGTATTTGCACTGCTGTGAGTGTTTACATGTCAGGTGTGTCCCGCGGCCCGTGTCGCTGCTGCCGCTGCTGCTGCCCAGGCTGGTGCAGCTCTGGTTGAGGCCGTTGGCCACCAGCCCCGGGATGGCCCCTCTCTCAGGACTGTCATCCACATCATGTGCAGCCAACATCTGTTCATCCAGGTGAGAGGGGAAGCCCCCGCCGCCCTGAGCCTGTTCATCCTGCGGGGGTAAAGTCAGATGTAATGGAATGCTCCAAATCATCAGCTCTTGATGATTGAAAGGTTCTGGTAAAATATTGATCCGCTAAAGAGGAAAACATCTAGGGAAAAGTCTCTAGAAAATAACATTTCCGTTTATGTCCCATATCTGCTTTGCATTATCTGCTTCAGAAAACTAAAATAAAAAAAACTGTAGGATTACCTTCTTGCAAATGGGAATCTGTTTTTACATTGTAAATTGATAAATAGTAGACAAAAAAGTGCAGTCTTTTGACAACCTGGTAATCCATAGTGTGGTGCTGCTTGTACAAATTGTTTTGAGATTTTCATATCCAAACAATGATTTGTGTACCAATGCTACTGAGATGAACTGTAAGGACCCTCACCTCGTCGTCTGAGTAGGAGTAAGCTGAAGCGACGACCCCCCACACTTTGCTGGCCACATTTGCCGCCTGTTTCATGCTGGACTTCAACACGTCGATTTTAGGTCCGGTGAGCAGGTTGTCCATCTTGATACCTGATATGGAGTTGATGACGGAGCCCAACGAGCCCCCCTGGGCGGACTTGACGAGTGCCGTCAGTGAGGCTGATCGGGGGCTACCCACCGCGCTGCCGGGGGTCTTCGTTTTCACTGCGAAAGTCTTGGAGCGGGTCACAGTGTTGGGGCTGCGTTTGGGGGTGTCTCCTGGGGAGCCGGTGGGAGTTTTGACGGGAGGCACGGGGAGGCTGGACCTGCGCTCCAGAGCCTGCTTGGGCTGGGGGGAGTCTGTGGAGTCCCCCTGCGCCTGCTGGAGCTCCATGCTGGAGGACTTGGGGCCCAGGGGGCTCCTCAGGCTCATGTACATCTCGATCTCCTCGGCCAGGTTGCGGGACACCACGGCGGGCACGGAGCGGGGGGACTCCTGGCTGGTGACGGAGGCCGACTCTTCCACCTCCGTCACAAGGAGGGAAAGCGGGTCGGCGCCCACCTGCACGTCGGCCCTGTCCAGGGTGGCCCCACGCAGCCCGGGGTCCTCCTCGTTTGTGTCTGTGTGCTTCCTCTCCCGTGTCTCCAGTTTTAACTCCGCCCCCTCCATCTCTTCATCATCTCCCTTCTCCTCTTCCTGCCCCTCTTCCTCTGGCAGCTTCATCACCACCTGATCTTCTTCAGGCTCTTCCTCCAAGTCTTTAAAAAGTGATTTGGACACAGAATTAGGGGGCGGACTGGGGCATGCAGACAGCGCCGCAGCCAGGATGCGAGCGTCGGCGCCCATCTGACTAGCCATGTGGTCCACGCCTTGCTCCAGCAGCATGCCAGCGCGCGTTTCAACGCTGAAGCTGCAGCTGCGTTCGCCGAAGGATTTCTGCCGCTGCTGCTGCTGCTGCTGCTGCTGAGGCTGGTTAGCTGCGTCTCCTGCAGGCAGCGAGGCCTCGTCGTCAGGGAGAGACACATTATCGTTCTTGCTGCGTCTCCTGAACAGCTTCCCTGTGCCTGCAGAATGTGTCCAGAGTTAAAACAACAATTCAACTTAGCCTAATTTAAATGGAAACATATCATTTTAAAGGTTTCCTATCATGCTATTTCTAGGCATATATTACGGGTCTCAGATATAACAAACATCAAACAATAACAAAATATAAAAAACATGTCTATGATGTGTTTTGCTCAAATACCAAACAGATCACCCATTCTAGCCATGACTCATACCCCTCTATTTCAGCCCTGTTAGAGAAGTGCTGATTCTGGGTCCTTAGCTTTAAAAAGAAAATTGGGGTGGGAGCTAATGCCTGCTCAGAATTCTACAAAGAGATTCTCAGCTAAATGCTCCCGTGATTAAACGCCATATCATGTTCCAAACCACATCAAGGATTATCTCTGAAACAGTATGGAGATCAAATGCTTTTTCTCTTTTTACCACAAGGTGAGTACCTTTTTATATCCTGCTTTTTTACACGCATGCTCTCTCCAGTACAGCTTAGCTCTGAGTGTTAGTGTTGCTTGCTAATGTAAAAAAAGACCATATTACTTCAAAACGTTGCGCATTGTTTCTGATAGGGCTGTGGGTCCACATTTCAGATATTAAGTCATATCGGCAGCAAATCTGGACCAGCTCCGTTGTACCCCCGTTTTTAGAGATTTAGGTACGGAGGAAAAGAGAGAGGGTTTTGTTTTCTGACCCTTACACGCCGGGGACACATATTTATGTATAAAAGACATCAGAAAGTGCATTTTGCATGATAGGAGAGCTTTAAGTGAAATCAAGGACTCACCTGCTTCCCTGCCACTGTCAAAGCTCCCTGTGGAAAGCTTCACAATACTGGGGACAGGCGAGGGCACATCCACAGGACTGGGGGGCTCCGCTACTGCGATTGCACTGTCCACTTTGCCGGCAATGTCACCTCCTGGTTATAAAAAGCACATTGTTGACAGACCGACATCACTGTACAAGGAGGAAATGGGGCGTCTGGTCGCATTAACAACCTTAAAATGCAGAACTAGAACTGGAAGTAGCTTTTCCTACCATTGGGCTGTGCTTTGGACTTGTTTCTCTGTTCAGTGGAAAGGAGGGCTGTTTGTAAAGGCTCGGCCAGCTCCTGGTGCATATCATCCTTGGAGCCGTAGCCTTGATCAGACTGCCTTCCTGCGGATCACAAAATAACACAAACCATGCTGTAACGCCTGTCTTTCAATCACAATTCCTGCCCCAAATGGTTTTAATCTCTTAACTTTATGGGATCAGTACCTGTACTACAGTGTTTGTCTGTTGTGTCTTCCGTGCCGTGGGCTAAGCGGTTGTGCTCTTCACTGTTGACCTCACTCGAGCTGTCGGCACTTCCATGACTCAAACGGTCCGCGTCAGTGACCGCTGACACACCTAGAGATGTAGCTGAAATACACAGAAAGAAAAAGTGGGTGAGAAACAAGAAAACAAGAGGAGACATTAAGAATCACACTGATTATTTGATCTCCACCTGTAGCACTGGGTCCCTTATTGGCAGATTTTGGGTCGAGAGCTTTCTTGAACTGGGCCACTCCACGAACAACATTACGAAGCTTGGTCCACATGAAGAGACCGCTTCGGTTTCTGCTCGGCCACGGGCTCTCTAAGACGGCCTGCAGAAGGAGGAGACAGAAGATGAGGATATGGAAGACAAGTGTTGTTATGGCTGAAGTTCAGTGCTCTGAGCCACACAGTGATTTAACAATGTAAAAGTCAAAGTGTGACCTTGTTGTAGTATCCATAAGTGATGGCGTTCGGATGTACTCCAGCTTTCTTCATCTCCACCAGGACTCGCACAGCCATGACGGGAAGACCCCAAATACCGCAGAGCTGCATCATCACTCTGTAACACACCTGGAGACGGAGAGATACAGACATTTTCACTCAACCCCACGCAGCATCAGGGCCTGTTTTTGCACACGGCATATTCTAGTAAGGTGGCCTTGTTTTTAAAAAAAAGCCCTGGTCCTCAGCACAATCATGGCTGGAAGAAGAATTACATCAAAAATGTATTTTGTGTAGTACAATATAGTTTAACCATAAATTAATCTTAGATTTGGTTATCGAATCAACAATGATTACATTTATCCCAAATGATTACTTCAAAGAAGACAATTGAACATTTTAAAGGAATTTGAAATCTATTTGAATACATCTTTTGACTGTACCTCATCCAGCACCTCCACCTCGGTGGTCCTCATCTTCAGGAGGACGTTGTAGGCCTGCTGCATGGCGCGGCTCTTGGACTTGGACAGTCTGACGGCAGCGGGCAGGCAGATGAACCACAGGCTGTAGCAGTGACTGAAGAGACAGCGCGCCCACCGCGGGGGGTTGGAGTAGAAGTGCTTCGCCATCTTGTACGCCAGCTTGATCTCCTGTTGGACCAAGGCATAAGAAAAGAAAATAAGAATAGGTTTAAGAATTTAAGATGTTTTTGCCGAAAGGAAAGAAAAAAAAAATAATCATAAAATACAAAAAAAAAGTTATTAAAAAGGGGGTTCATGTTGCTTAAGAATAATTATTATTGTGAATATTTTAGCAGCATGCAGACTGTGTGGGTGATTGAGTCTAACTGTTCCTCTCCTTTCACGCAACTATACCGTTTTTAAATACCATTTTATAGTGTGAATTTGCTTTTTATCATTTCTAAAGCACTTTTGATTGCCTTGTGCTGAAAGGTGCTATATAAATAAACTTGCCTATTAATCAATATGTCTTTCAACAATGATGCATAAAATTATCAGCGCTTCCATTGTCTTGAAAACACACGTGCACACACCTGCTTGGTCCTCTTAGCCAGCAGGGCGGGGCTGCTGGACAGACTGGCCCCCGCCGCACTGCTGCTGATGGAGGGCCGTATCTCCATAGGACAGTCGAACAGCTCCATCTGCAGCCTGGGGAAACTTTTATATCTGCAGGGAGAGAAATAGGGTTGTTACAGGGTCCTGTGCTTCAGAGTCAGAGTTTTATCTATACTTTAGTCAAGGCTCACGTGTATCTGGGGGAGGGTTCAGTTCCATCGTGAGCTGGAGGCTCCGCCGGCATTACAAAGACAGTGTGTTCACTCTTCTGAGACTCGTCCAGCTCCAGCAGTCTGGTGTCCTCAGATGACTCTCCTTCGACCTGCAGGGAGCATCCAGAGCTTCAATACAGACTGACTACTGTGACTTTACATAAACACACTCTGTAGGTCATTTCCTGTCTGAGGGCAAGAAAACAACAAGCACACTACAATCTGCTATGCTTATTTGATTGTGGTTAGGAGTTAAGGATAGAAGAAAAGCAGGAAATGTTTAGGAGGAAAAGGCTAATCTACTTACCTTTTCATTTGAGTCACAAACATTAAAAAGAGAGGAAATGTGATCATAGTGTAAGCCCAGTATTACCTTAGCGCCCTTGTCGGTGATTTTATCAGAGGGGAAAAGCTGCAAGAAGAGGAAAGAGAGCAAAGGAACCAGAATGAATCAGAGGAAATGTTTGCTTCTCCCAGTTTGGACGAATGTTATTTTGCCAATAAAACATAAAACAAAAGGCCCGTTCACAGAAGGAAGCAGAGGAAAAACAAAACACCGTGACACCAGTGTGACGCCGGGTTAATCGCTAATCACCTTCTCCACGCAGTCGTCAAAAAAGGCGAGGCCGGTGTCCTTGTCGCTGACGAAGGTGCACTCCTCGATGAAGCGGATGAAGATCTGCGTCTTGGTGAGCTGGGAGTAGAACTTATGGTGGGCCCGGTCTCTACTTTTGAGAAATCCTGCAGGAAGGCAAGGGCAGATTGTTGTGACACTTCTTAAAATTCCATATATCAACTTTCACATCATCAGTCATTCTTACGAAGATGTATTTTCACCATTATAGTTAAAAAAAAAAGAGCCTGGAGAGGGGGTAATCCATAGAAAAAGTTAAAATATTCAGAGATGAAGCCGTAAATGTACCCCCCCCCTCACTGTTGTATGCCTCCAAAAATCCATCAAGCTACAGTTTACATTCATTTCTGTCCAAAATGTCATCATCTTATTCGTAGACATTTGCGTGGAATTGTCATAATAATCATATTCATTTTAGAGTTATGTTCAAAAGTGACCTTTGACAACCAAAATCTAAATCAATTCATCCTTAAGTCCAAGTGGACATTTGAGCCAAATTTCTAAAGTCACTCATCGCAAAAAAAATGTCACTCCTGTGAATTTATGACTTAAATCTTATATGTTTTTTTCTTGGAATTTGAAACCCTCTCCTAGATTTATAATTGAGATGTTTAACCTAATGTACTTAATACGCAGTTGTAAATTCTTGTACTCACTCCAGGTAGAAATAAATCAGGTTATAATGTATTTTCATCCATCTTCTATAATGTAAGTGGTAAAATATGCTGTGTCGTAAGCCCTTTTCCATCCTCTACCTGCATCTAAAATTGAACTCTAACTGTGGAGGGGGGAGGGGGGGAGCAGCCATTAGGGAAGTCTTATGACAGCCAAGGAGAGAGGTGATTGATTTGTAGAAACACTTCAGTTGAGTGATAATTGAGATGCTCCTTTGAATAGAGATGCCGATAACATTAAACAGAAGGTGATGTCATCCTTTTTTTAAAGCTGTAAATTATGCACAGCTTACAAAACGAAGAACATCCAGGTATCAGAGTTTTAGACTGGACTTAAACATACTTTAAAATCAAACTTAATTTCCGCTATGGATGACTGGGTTACCTTGCAGGTCGTAGAGGGAGTCTGCAGCCGTGGCTTTTACAGAAGGCGCCTGTGTGATGGGTTTGAGGTAGGAGCGGTAGCCCTTCAAGATGGACGCCATGAAGCGCAGGAAGTTCTCCTGGATCTCCATCTCCAGCGCCGTCTTCTTCTTGTGCCAGGTGAAGTCCGCCTCGATGGGAGTCATGTCCACCGCCGAGTTATCCTGTGGTGTCTGACCCACTGTCACTAAAACACACAACAAAGAAGAGGCTATGTTATGTTTGAAGTGTGTGTACCTGCATACAGACTGCAGATGGAAAGTAGATACAGGAAATATGGCATAAATCATCTCTTCTTCTTTTAAATATTAAATAATGTATTTTTATGCATGCTCCTTGGTTAAAAGAGACATCATAACAAGAGATATTATAACAATTGAAATACAATCTCATCGTGCATTTTTTTAAGAGGCGTGGCTTACAACATGTAGTAAAAGGTTATCAGACAAAAATACAACTGAATGCATTCTTAACTAAATGTTTAAAAGTAAGTACAAGAACTAGTTAAAAAAAATTGTCACCAATCAGCTGATAAAATAAATTCAAACTTAAATTTATTTAACTTTCACTAGCACTTTTTGTTGTTCTATTTTTGTACAACTTCTGTCTTTGCACACATTTAGTTATTTGAATTTTGAGTTGAGTTTATTCGATTCATCAAAGTAAATTATATTGAGTTTTTTCATCACCAGAAAATATATTATTATTTTCTTTTAAATCAGTTGATTGTTGCTCAAACGATACAACAAACAATAACTGACTTCTAAAAACGTACTTGCAACTCCCTTAACTTATCTTAACTGTGTTGAAACCTTTCCCATATTTGCAGTTTGTAAACATGTCATTATATTTTCCCATAAAGCAGGAGGTGTTGTTTGTACCTGTGGCCAGCTGGTGGTGCAAGTTGCTCAGGGAGTTAACCAGACTCTTGCAGGGTTTCTTTGGGAGGTTCTTCCAGTTGCTGTGTCTCTTTTCATCAGACCTGCAACACACGATAACGCCACAAACGCAGTTAGCTGGAGAGCTGCGCAAAGTACATTTAAATACTCGAAATAGTCCAACATTGTGAGAGCTGTAAATACTATCAGAGCATACAGGTAGATGGTGTTGGTGTCCAGATCTACACAGACGACATCTGGAGGGGGGTCGTAAAGGTCGAAGTAGCGGGAGTCCACGCCCACTATGAATGGACACGGAGCGTTGAGGACTCCGGCGAGAGAGAGCGGGCACAGAGGGATGTAGGGACACTGCCACTGGAAGGGGAAGATCATCTGAGGAGAGAGGGAAGCAGAATTAATTCAACAAAACAAGTGACTTCACACAAACCTCTTTGAATAAACAGCACATGGCAAATCAATCTTATAAAAAGGAAAGTGAAGGTTGTGACAGTTTGATTTTTCTGATTGTTAATTATTTTTATTTATTCAGGGGTGCCAGCCAGGTCTCTCTCCTGGCATTCAAGATTGGTCAGTTATGTTTCGTTTCAGTAGTATTTTCCTTTTTTAAATCAACCATCACAAAGGTATGCACAAACATCAAAATGTACACCCTACACATTGAATGACCATTGTTAACTTCACAAGAAAAACACCAACACAATATGTGTTATTTAGCTAACTTGTTGTCATTCATTCATGGATAATTACAACTCAACCTGCTTTTATACAGATAAACTTTTACTGTTAACAATAAAGTCATTATTTCTTTATGTAGAGAGACCATTGTGTGCAGAAATGTAAAAATGACAATGTAATGAAGGCAACTACGCCTCGTATAAATGTAATAACATAGCATTGAATATCAAACCTGGGGGGAAAGGGCTGAATTTGATCCACATTATTGCCAGAAAGGGCTTTATGCTGTGGGTTATTATTACAGGATATTGTTTTACACGTGTCCTCTTTTGAGTTAAAAAATAAGATAGGATTCCAGACGTCACTGACCATGACTCGAGTAATATTCGCCATGGCTCTCGCTGAGGGAATCATGATTTTTGATGATATTCGTGCAGAAATGGTACATGGTGAATACTCACAGCCACCACAGCCTCGGCCACCCCGGTGAGCACGGCGGGCCGCAGCGAGTGCAGCAGGATCTTACTCTCCAGCAGGATGAAGTGCAGCAGCGTGGCACAGTTCTCCGGGCCCAGATTCATCAGCAGAGTGCCGTAATCTGCCCCACTGAGAGGGGGAGGGGGGGGGAGCACAGGAGGAGAGTGAGGGGATGGGTTTGAGCAGGAAAACAACAACAGAAAGGGATGCTCCAGAATCAATTTCAAAAATTCTTATTGGTTTTTAAAGCTCTTAATGGTCTTAGGCCTAGTTTTTTTTATCAGAATTGCTTTTAACCTATAAGCCCTCTAGAACCCTCAGGTCTTCTGGCGCTGGACTTTAAATCATACACAAGGTGAAAACAAAGAGCCACAGAGAGGCGTCTTTTTATTATTGTTACGGGCCACAATTGTGGAACAGCCCCCCAGAAGACCTGAGGATGGCAAAGAGTGTTCATTCTTTTAGAGCAAATTCAAGACCCACCTTTTTAATCTGGATTTTAATTGAATTGTCTTTTATTCAAAATGTGAGTCTTATTTTAGTCCTGTTTTTTTCAGTCCTGCGTTTGTATTAAGTGTTTGTTTCTTTTTAAATCACAGAGTTATGGCTCACTCTGGTTATTACCTAGGAAGGGGGGGATATTATTGTTTTTATTTTAGTAATTGTCTATGGTTTGGTTCGGGAAGCACTTTGAGTTACCTTTGTGTATGAAAAGTGCTATTTGATAAACGTTTTTAACTGAGTTTATAACTGGAGACAGAGACTGGAAACATCTACAACACTACACTGCTGCTTTTTTTTTAGCCTGCTCAGCTGTTTTTCTTTCAGACAAAGCAAACATAAACTGCCCCATTCAGATTGAAATGAAAACAAACCTTTCAAAGTAAAACATCTAAAATGAAACCTACAGTAGGTTTAAGAAGAATTTTAACAAAGTAACTGAACATATGTGTTTGTTGTGAAACGATTAAGCATTGCAAAACCTGTAGTACCTGAGAGGTAGGGGTGTACACACAGGCTGGGACAGGATCAAGGTGTCATGTGCCGACAGCTGAAAGGAAACAAAGTATGATAAGGAACTTTAGAAACATAATTATACAAGTCAAAGAATGGTTATAATTGACAATAATAACAAATGTCACCTGGACTAATATTCTGGGCCTTTGAGGGGAAGGAAACGACACGTTGTGCATAAAATGGGAGATGTGCCTGTTGAGAGAAAAGCACAAAATGTGTTCAAATGTCTTAAAATATATGCAGCATTCAAAACAATGTAAATAGTTACGGGTATATTCCTACTTTTCGATGGGCAGAGGGTGCGGGCCGGAGACGGAGAGCTTGTAGAGGAACATCAGGAACTTGCGGAAGGACTCGAAGAAGGGCCAGCGGGAGAGCAGGCAAATGCATTTGTTGGTGTTTACGGGTCGGTTAGGGATCATCTTCTTCTCCACCGTGGTGAGCAAGCCCAGCTGGATCTTCTGCTTCTCGCTCAGCTGATCCACGGGATGAGGCTCGTAGAACTGGATGGCTGACCCATACACCTGGAGCCAGAGACGGACAAATGATTTGAGCCCTTCTGTAACTTTTTGGTTTAACCTTAATGGAAGTACCATTTTAGTGAGCTAACACCAGTGAAGACCAATACCGTGACATTATTATTAAGTTTATTAAGTACATTTTCATTCTCTCTCACAAACAAGGAGGAACTGCTATTTGCTGATAAATTCTGTTAAATGAACTCAAACTAAAAAGAAACGTCATTTCTAAGTGGTTTTTTCCAAATAGTTTAGTGAGACTACTACAGTAGTTGACATTTACTTAATTGGTTGGTGGATTTTTATTTTAAATCAGTGCAGTGTAGACAGCGACAGTGATCCATTGACTGTTTGTTAAAGTAAGGACATGTTGCGTCTCATTTTTGACTCAACTCACCTTTTCCCCGGAAGAGATGGTTAAGACAAATGTGGAGAAGACGGGGAGAGGATCTCGTGTGTTTGGCGCCCAGCACTCGATTGTTGCACCCATGGGCAAACAGAACAGAGGGACAGATTCTGACAGAGGGAACGACTCATAGTCCTCTTCTGGGTAACGAAAAATGAGACCTGGAGCACAAAGGAAGATAGAAATGATGACTTAAATAAGTAATGTTGTATTGTACAATTCTGGCTTTACTTCACTGCGAGGATTAAGCAGAATAAACGAAGAAGAGAAGCAGTGTTTTTTCTGTAGTTCTGATAAACAGTACTTAGTATAATCTGGTTTTATTTACAGGAAATAATCGTTCTGCTCCTCTGTGTAACTTGTTGTTCGGTGAGATGTCAATCTTACAAAACAGACGCATTCTTATGATAACATGAGCATACACAAGCGCGCCTGCAGACACACACACGAAGGGCGTGGCAGGAAGAGCCGTTGTCTGAGATGAATAAACAGCCTTCTCACAGGAAAAAGGTCGGGCAAAAAGATAAAGCCTGCATGTTTGTGTGTGTGCACAGTCATAAAACACTGATTATGAAGGTGAATTAATCCAAAAGGCCAAGCGGTTGGGAAGAATTCAGCCAGACAAAATGTCAGACAGCAGTTTAGAAATGCCAGCTGTAATAAACAATGACGAACGCAAGATCGGAGATATACACTGAAGGTGCCACTCGCTTGAAATTTGAGACAAGAGGTAACTGACACACAAAGCTGCACCATTGTAAACTACACTGCTGTTTCCATATCATATCAATGACTAGTTATTGCAACATGTTTTAATATCAAGGTCTGATGAATGTGTTACAAAAATACTCTCTCAAACTCTGACTAAGAGTCAAATGATGTTGACTTACTATCTCATAATTCTAAATTAAGAAATTTGAGTCTGAGTCTGAAATGTAACTACTTTACTTGTGGCCATCTCTTAGCTTGTAAGTAAGTAAGTAAGTAAAAGTTTATTTCTAAAGCACCCCTCCCAGCACGAATGCACAGAGTGCTGTACAAAATATAGCAGTCAAAACAATTAGGCCAATATGGCACTAAGGCATAATAATCTTGTGAATCTTTTTATTTTTAATTTGTTATGGACTCTTGGCTTCAGACACAGTATGTTTACCACATTGTTTGACCATATAGTTATGCTACAACCAACCAGTGTTAAATTCGTCAACGAAAACTATGACGAAAAATGTTCGTCAACAACCTTTATTAGATGACTAAGACGAGACGACGACGAGCTAAAAATAGATTCTTGACAACGAAAACTATGACGAAATGTATATTTAGTTTTCGTTGACGAGACGAGACGGGACTAAGGTGTTAATGGTGGACTATCGGACATTCAAAATGCAGGGTATTTTCCCCCAAGTGTCCATCTTGTCTGTCAAAATGCATCTTACGTTTCTAACTTGCAATATCATTATTTCCGCTCTCTTCACTCCAGAAGAGCGATCTCCCTGTGTCTCTCTGTGTGCGGGGGGCGGGGCCTAACATACATGCTGCAGCGGACACAGAGATCTGCCGGGGACGGAGCGTTCAGAGAGTATAGAGGCACATTTTGACTAAAAGTTGACTAAAATGTAATTTTTTTATCGACTAAAAGTTGACTAAAACGTTTTGAGTTTTCGTCGACTAAAACTAGACAAACTACGAAGGATAGGAATGACTAAAATGTGACTAAAACTAATAACCATTTTCGTCTAAAGACTAAGACTAAATCAAAACCAGCTGCCAAAATTAACACTGCAATCAACTGTGTCCTTTTATCTAAAATAACAGTGGATTTAGAATATCTTTGTATCTTAATTATTTCTCTTTGGAAATGATGTGAATTTCTTAAACAGTAAAGCATCAGTAGAAACACTCACCAGCTTTGTAACTGATGGAATTGGATGCAGACACTGACTTCTTGTAACACAGGAATACATTGGAGCCCCACTGAAATAATCAAAAGACAAGCATTAAAATGAGTTCTCCATATACTGATAAAAAGTGTTCACTCCGGAATAAAAATCTGACATTACCATGCCACAGTTGAGGTTCTTGTCCACTTTGCAGAAGGTGTGAGGCGGCGTCTCTCCTTTGCTCGTGACGATGACGCAGATGTCGGTCACTGCGAGGGAGTTCTGCGGCGTGACGGGCGGCGCTCGGCGCAGCGTGATGAAGATGCGCTGCGATGTTGCCGAGCTGTTGTTGACGTTGGCGCAGCGGCCGTATGGCGTGGCCTGGATCACCTCGCAGCCATGGATCAGACGCTCCTTACCCTCATACAGCACTCTGAGGAACACAAGCAGGAAGTAGGTATGTTAGTCTGGCACTTAAAGGTTTTTTAGGCATATATTATGGGTCTCAGATATATACAAATATATAAAAAACATGTCTATCATGTGTTTTGCTCAAAATACCAAATAGATCATGCATTTTA